GGGTAAGTGAGGTGTTAAAGATGTCTGCCAGCACCTCACAGAGCTGATCAGCACATTCCTTCAACACTTTTCCGGGGATGTGGTCTGGGCCAGTTGCCTTGTGTGGATTAATCCTCCTGAAGGTACTCCTTACTTCTGCTGAGGTCACGCTGAGATGCTCTTCATCCGGTGGTGAGGTGAGTCTGGTGCTGGGTGGTCTGTTAGGATCTTCAAAGCGTGCATAGAACTTGTTGAGGGCATCAGGCAGAGATGGGTCTTTGGGGCATTGTTCGCTCCTTCCTTTATAATATGTTATGCACTTAATGCCCCTCCACATGCTCCGAGGGTCTTGTGAGATGAATTGACCCTCGATCCTCTTTGCATATGTGCCCTTGGCCCTCTTAATACCAGCAACCAGCTCTTTTCTTGTCCTACTCAGCTACTCTGAGTTTCCAGACCTGAAGGCAGTGTTCCTGGCTTCCAGCAGGGTACGCACCTCTGCATTCAGCCAAGGTTTTCTGTTTGGGTAGTTTTTAACATTTCTGATAGTGGAGACGGTGTCAGTACATGTACTAATGTAACCCAGAACTGAGGATGTGTATTGGTCAAGATATATACTTACTATACATATATATATATAATATATATATATATATACATATATGTATATATATATAATATATATATATACATATGTAGTGAACTAAGCCTCAGGTCTCAAATCTGGCCTTGAGGGCCTTCCTGGGACAAGAACTGTATTTCATTGATTTGAGTCCAGAAACACAAAATCAAGTCCATCCAGAAGACTTCCTAAGTGTCCTGCACTGATCAATTGAAAGAACATTCTCTTTTCTATTATCGTTACTATTTTACAAATGTTTTACCATTTTTAAATGTTGAAGTGAACTACTCAATTTAAATCAACTGTGAAACAGTATTAGTGATTTTTAATCCTCATTCAAAGTAAGAAATCAAGTTAGAATGTGTTACGGAGTGATTCATGCACTTTCTGATCTTCTGTCTGAAATGAGCAAGTTGTGATGTCGGTCAAATGTCGGAGTCAAACGCAAAACAAGTTGTTGGAACGAACTGTCATGTTTTTAAATCCTCTCAGACGTAAATAGAGAAGCTGGCACCTGTTTTCCCCCAAC